CGTCTTCAAGCTTTTTACTAATTTTACTAAGAAGTGCTGTTTTAATTTTATACCCAGTACTAATAATCATGGTCTAACTCAAGATTTTTTTTCATTAACAGATTTGTATATTTACCCATTTATGCAATAAGACCTACACTGTTTCTGTCTTCTGTCCTCTCTTTAGCTCTCGTGTCAAATCCAGTTTGAGAACAATAAGATTTTCAAGAAAGAGTTCCACCTCTGGGGGGTAAGTATCTGCTGTCTGCTGGGAATCGCCTTTCCCACTTACACTTGGGACATTTGAGCTAATGTTCAAAGATCAGTGAATGAACTGAGGTTTGAGGATGGTGGGCACACCAAGCGCCTGACTCTTGTTTGGCAGGTTTTGCTGGCTGTGGTTGGAAAAAAAGTATTTAGGAGAGAAAGAGGTAGATAAAGACTTTATGTCCGACTAACTACGCTAGATGGACCTTTCCTCAGCAGTGGAGTGCTGTGAGCATCTAAACATAATCTGAAGTTTAGAAATAAGTAATTCAGTTGCAACTAGATTTTCTTAGAAATATAATCGTGATCATAATCATTAGCATATCCCGTGGTTAGTTAGTTATCAGTTCACACGTTTCTGACGAACACATTTAAACTAGATTGGATGGACAACATTCAAGCGCAAAGTTTGAATGTCTCTTACCTGCAGGTGATCAACGTAAAGCACAGCTCGGTCAATATGGTCCCATCTAAACTGGAGATAAACCTCCGCAAGGCCGACCAAGTGGCTTGGGGCAAACTGGAGGACCCGAACTACAAACCTGAGCCCGAGCCTGCAGACGACCCGTTCATCGAATCCAACGAGTCGTACCAGCCCGACTGGGACATCGATGATGATGACATCAGTGACTCGGACGAGGAGTGGGGCTATGACACGCCCAAGAATAAAAAGGTAGAGAAGGATGAAAATCAAAAGAAGAACGAGGAGGAGGAGAGGCGGAAGTTAAAGAGGAAGGAGGTGGAGGAGGAGATGAAGAGGGCGTTGGAGGAGCGGATGAAGGCGGAGGAGGAGAGGAAGAAGCTAGAAGAGCAGAGGAGGCAGGAGGAAGAGGAAGGATATGAAGACATGCCAGAGCTAGAGTGAAAAACTTCAGATTTATTTGTGGTTTAGAAATAGAAAATCAAAAGAGATTTTTATAACATAGGACATATTTATTTCTGAAATAATAATTACTCACTACAAACCCCAATGAGACGTGTTTAAATGACCACGATATGGAGAACGTGATGTAATGACAAAACTGTACCTTCGATAGAAGAAATAAAGTTTTCTATGTCAGTTTCTACTTCTACATTTGTGGGGGGTGTTGTTTCATTTTGTATGTGTACCGACTGGTAGCATTTCACCACTGTTGGCTACATTCATTACAGATAAATAGCTGGATCAATGATATAAAGACTTGATATCCATTACAAGTCCCCTGGGCTTTAAGCAGAAATTAATGATTTTTTGTTTTCAAAAGCCTGTAATGAATCATTAGCTTATCCACTGGTGCTGTAAATAAAACAGTTTAGGTCAGACTAGCCTTTAGTTTATGAGTCATACTTAAATTGTATTTCCACACTTTGTTTTCATTATTATAAGCCTATTGTACATCTGTGAGAGCAGCCTACACAGTATTACTCACTGACTGGCTTTACTACAGCCAAACAAAGAACATACAGCATGTGGGCTAATTGTTTAGAGCAAGCGTGGCTAGTAAACAAGGCGAGAAAATATCAGTGGTAGTTTTTTGAGTGACAATGCCTCCTTGATGCGAGAGTTTGTTGGAGAACAGCCAGACTGCTCGAATAACCACTGGTCAAAACCGATTTCTGAACACCCATGTCTTGAAGCAGAAGACTTCCCAGAAGTCGGAGTTACTTCTGTCACCTAAGAGCAGGAAACTGAAACTACATTTCACGCCGGCTTGCTAAAATTGGACAGTATAAGAAAAATGTTGCCTCGTCTGATGAGTCCCCAGTTTTACTATAACAAGAAAGCATCACTCCATCCCGGCTTCTATAAGGCTGCTGTGGTGTTGGTGTACTATTAGAGGATGTTATCTAAACACCACAGTCTTACCTGTGTCTTGTTGTTGACCATGCCGATTCCTTTATGACCAAAACTTCTGGAACTTGTTCCAGCAGGGTAGCACATCACGTTACAAAGCTACGTTCACTGTTCACTTAGATTGAGATATGGCCTCCGTAGATCCAGATCTTAATAAAATGGAGCAGCTTGGGGATGTGGTGAAACGAGAGACTCGCGTCCTAGATGTGCAGTGGATAAATCTGCAGAAGCTACGCTTAGCTCCCTCCTTTGTGCCGCAGAAGCATGTTATTGTAAGAAAAATGCTATAATACAGAAATTAAGAAACTGCTCCAAAAACTAAAAGATAATTTTAACTATTCACAGACATCAAAGTGATTTATCAAGTGTAAAAATATACATAGAAAAATCAAAGAGAAAAATCAAGCGATGAGACAGTGCCTAAAAGTTAAGTGGGTAGACAATAGTGAAAATACTATTTAAGTCTTTACCTTTAGTTGTGACCTGCTTTGATTAAAGCACACCAAGGCCTTGACTCTTTTGTCAACCTGGAATAAAAACACTCGAAGGCGCAAGAGCACCACAAATCACACAATTACTAAATAAAGCAACACACAAGATTCACACTTCAATAATTCATTTAATCTCCAGAGGGTTGCACGGACTTTGTCTTTGTTACAAACTGCACATGATAACACAATAAAACACCTCGCAACGTACAAGGTCGTGCAACATCTAGTCTGGCTTCCAGCACTGTCTCAATATATAGGCTGCTCAGAATCAGGGGTGCGTTCACAAATGTCATCTATGGAATACTGTTGCACAAACATGGCAGTGTTTGTAATCTGTGGATTCATTTCAGTTCCTTTGCTAGCATTTTTCTTTTCAGCTTCACGTAACTCCTTGGGAAGAGTTTCAGTTTGCGACATCAGAAAAAATTTAAAAAAACAAACCCTATAAAAGAAAAAACAAAACTAGGATATATTTAATTAAAAGAGCAATAAATAAGCAATTACTTGTCCCAAAATGGCTTCCATATATTATGTTGCCCAACATCTTTGCAGTAATTTTCAGCACAACACAAACCAAATCAAAAATTATACACAAAAATTTCACCCCCCCCCCCCAAAAAAAAAAGGCTCAACACAAGCTGAACAACTTCTTTGTGTTAGTAGTTTGTAAATAACACTGGATTACATTTTAAATAACTTTGGTTTGAAATTAGTATTACTTTTTTCTTTTTTTTCTTCTTCTTTGGGAAGGCGTACCAATTGGGGTTTAAATGACATCGCTGTGATGGTAAAATGACACAATCACAAATAACATTGGTGTCAAATGGTGTCGAGCTGCTGTTGGAGTAATTGTACCGCCACGAATGTAATAAACATTTGTGTATACATCTCCATATATTCATATTTTTTTGTGATTGGTTACATATATCACACTTTATCGAAACACTTATGTCCGTATACATTTTTCATAAATAAAAAGATTTCATTCATCGATTAAAAAAAACAACCCTGTAAACACGTGAAATCTTAGCGTACACACACACACACACACGTACACGTGATTACCCCCCCAATCAAGTTAACCTCTTGATAAAGTGCAAGGCAAGATACAGTAAACTTAGAAATATATGACATACAACAACTCCTGCATCTCAAGTGCATGTGAGCGCCATCGCTCAATCACGCGCACGTTATTGTATGTCTCATAACCCACAAAAGTACAAACTTGGCACAACACCACGAAAGCCTCTAAGGTGTAGAGCGTAAGCTGGCACACTATGGATACAGTAGCACAATCCTACATCTACAACGCCTCACAGTTATTCTGTCTGGTAAAGGATTAGTTTGATAAATGTGGAAAATAATGTCCGAACTCAACAACCGAGCACTTCTGTGTAAATGAAGCAAAGCTGATGCACAAACAACTTTATTTTAACAGACCTGAGTCAAAGTGAGATTGTGAATGTACATCTTTGTCCCTTTTCTAGTTTTCAAAGCAGTTTAGTTATAAATTAAGATTATGTAGGCTTCTTATGAAAAAACATCTAACAACCACTGCGTCATATTGCTAGCTTGAAAAGCTAGTATTAGCTAAAACTAGCTAGTATTTAATTTTGTTTTAATTTTCTTACTTCTTACATTCTGACAATCAAACACTTGGCAGTAACTGTCTCATGGTGTAGTTCAGGCCAATAAATGTGAAAATGTGAGTGTAAAGTATAGCTAACTTGTACTGCAACATTAAAACTTAGGTAAATGTTAGCTAGTGAATGTTCTTTATTATATTCTGATAGCAAAAATTGTGACATTTTATGAAATTCACTTTTTTGCTAGGCAAGAGGAACGTTTTATTATTATTATTTACAAATTTAGCTTTGCTTCTGAAAAAAGATGTAAAAAGGAAGATGTCAAATCCTGCCAAAAGTTGGATTTGATTGCTTAACAAAGAACATGCTGTTTGAGTAGCAATTATCGGATCCATTGCCACCGTCTCTAGTAGGGATGTACAGGACCAGTCGGCTTGAATATTACTGCAATTCTTAGTTGCACAGAAATACTTGTGGGTTGAAATGATTATAGGATTTTTTATGCTGTAATTGATATGAGTATTTGGTGGTTTAAAACTCTGATATTCCAACATTTGGCCATTCTCTTTTCAAACAAAAACAAACAGATTTCCCTCACATTTATTATAAATTTTTTTATGTGCGTGTTGTTGGATCGTGTATTTCACTTTTAGGCTAGTAGGAAAAGAAGGAAAAAAACCAGTAAACGAGTTAACAAATTTCTGGAGCATTGTAAAGGAACAATTTTCGATTTCAGGGATTTCCAAACAGCAGAACAACAATTTAGGTACTCAAATAATACACTATTGATACACGGCTTGACAAAATTTACAATATGCAGGGTGTAAGTATGTAAGTAAGTGGTTTGTCTTTTTTTTTTGCTAAACTAAATCCTGCTTTTCAGTTAAACTCCAACCAGTCTGGTTTAAAACAAAAGTAACATTCGCAAATGTTGCTGGTCTGAACAAACACGTAAAAAAAAAATTTAAATTTAAAGAAAAAATCATTTTCATGAGGCAATATCCACTGTGAGGCGAAGGCTAAGTATGCATGCGGGGACACACATAACAATAGTAATTGGCTTGATTATATGCATGGTGGCCAAAGAGTTTGTCAAAGGGGGAAGCAGCAAAGCCAGAACAGCTTCACAGGTTACCATTGGGAAAATAAGATATACAAAAAATAGATATACATTTTGTAATGTTAATAACAATAATATAATAATAGCTTTTAACCACAACAAGGCAAAGTCAAATATCCACTGACTCTTATATTACATATACAATCATGAATATGGCAAAGTATTAGTAACATACTGAGTAGCTGTAATGTTTTGTTTGTGTGCATCCTTGATGCTTCCTCCTTCTGTAAACGCATTTACCAGACACTACCAAAAATATCTGCTCTTATCGAGTCACTTCATCTGGTACTGTGCCTCATAGTGGTTCACAGAACAACTGAAAAACTGCACAGTGGGAAGAAATATTTAACTCCCACATAAGCCACATTTTAGACCTCGATAATAACGAAAAGAGCGTACTTTAAAAATCCCACAGTCGGATCTTTTCACAGGGCTGAATGCCAGATGAAATGACTCACAGTAAAGTTTTTTTTTTTTTCTTTTTGCAGCGTGGCTGCATAGCCTCGGACCACACAAGCCACACAACAGCCTATTAAGAACCACTTTAAAACCACAACAATAGAACCTCTGTAAAATCATATACGATTTATCATTTAACATCATCATTATTCACAGGTTAGTACAAGTCCACACAAGTACATTCCTCAGTATTTTTTTTTTTTTGCAACATATAAGAGAATCTCCAGTTCAGTAGACAGTAAGGTCGAGATGTTTCAGTTTGTTCATTTTGTTGATTTGTTGCGTCGGAGTTCTCATAGCAGTAGCATCACGGAATAAATACTCAGTCTTAATCAACGTCTAAAGGCGATTCAAAAAGTTTTGAAATGAAACAATTAAAGTTAAAAGATTGTAACAACTTATGATTGTACATATAAAATAATATGGCTGAACTCAACATGCAAGGAGAGCACCACGTAAACACATTTCTTGGTCACGAAAAAAAGAAAGAAAAAAAAACATAAGCCAGGAAGGACGTTGTTGCTCCACGCCTGCCTTGATTTCAGTTTAATTCGCTGCTGGCCACATCTACCGACCCAGAAGCAGAGCGCCAGTGGTGAAGCAATGCGATGCAAAGCCAGGGCCCTTTGGAAAAAAATTCAACAGAAACGGGGAGGAAAAATTAAATCCCCCCCTCGACCCACGTAAAATAAAATAAATCTTATAGTGGGAGGAAACACCTCTGTCAAGCCAATGGGCATTGTGGTTAGAGGTAAGGGTAGGAGGGGTGCTCCTCACACCTGGTTTTCAGGGTAACGGGGTGGGTAATAAAGCACCTCGTGCAGGACTTCAGTTGCCTGAAGAATCTGCCTCAGTGGTCCCGCCTTTGATATCCCAGGTTCCTGTGGACGAAACAGAAAACAATAAAAACCTGACCCTGCTTACAAAGACACATAACTGTGTGTTTTTAAAATAAAAGCAGGCTGAAGCTGACTAAAGCCTCTTCTTTTAGTTCTTG